CCAGGGCAGGGGCGCGAGACCACTTGCACGCCTTCGGGTACATTGCTGCGCAAGTTGCCTAGTTTTCGGCGTCCCTCAAAGGGGGTTATTGGAGGAAAGCGTATGGGGTAAGGTGAAAAGGGGTGCGATCCCTTCTTTCCGTCTCCATCTGTTTTCTGCCTCCCAGCACCCGACAAAATGCATATGCTTTTCACACGATAATGTCATGGATACTATAGAGACGCTTAAGGCCTTACTCAGAGATTTTTCGCGTCGTCCGAAGGTAGGACGGAGTACCTACCAAGACAAATAAGTGCGGCACACTTCTGGAGGGCACACGGGTTGTCCTGGGTGGTCGGTTCGGCAGTCTCCTGGATGGCACTCGGGTGGTCCCAGGCAGCAGACTCGGCAGTCTCCTGGACGGCCCTCCTGTGGTCCCAGGTGGTCGGCTCGGCAGTCTCCTGGACGGCACTCGGGTGGCCCCGGCTGGTCAGCACGGCCCCGGCACATGGTGGTGCTCAGTGGCCTCGGCGGCGTGGCCGGGGCGCTGCTCCGGGGCGGCCTCCAGGGCCCGGCGGGCGTCGTGTCCGGCCGTGGTCGCTGCCAGTGGTCACCGCCACCGCCGCGAAGTAGCACCAGCGCGCACCCGGCGACCGGACCGGACCGGGGCGAGGGGGATGGCGAGAACGGGCCACCCCTACCGTCGCTTAGCGCGGGCGTGCTTCAACTGACGGGCCCGCGGGGACGACCGCGCGGCCGCGGTTCTGACGATACTCCGCGCCGCGCCGCCTCGATCCTTCAGCATGGGATATTGTCGCAGCAGACGATGACGAACGCTGGAAGAACAGCCAGTGACGGACGGCCGGTCTATGTTTTTGGTTAGGTGGCACGTGGATTCGTCTACCTCGTCGCTTCCGGTCCTCCTGTGTCAGCATAGTTGACACGTTGACACTCCCTCGTCCTCTCGACACGCCTCCCACGAGGCAACCAGCCACAGAGAGCCGATTACAGCAGACTGATTCCGAAGAGCGCTCAAGGGGAGCTTCCCCATGAGTGCGACAAGGATGGAGCTATACGGAAGGTATAGGAGAGCGCTCTTCGGAATCAGTCGGCTGTCAGAGTTGTGGCACTCAGCCGGACCGCTCGGACCGCTCCACGTCACATGTGCCGCCTAGCTCGTCAGCTACACCAGCTACACTCTCTAGTGCGAGGGAGAGGGCAGAGCCGGGCGCCGGGCGCGGTGGGAGAGCGGAGGAGCGGAGCCGAAGGAGAGTGGTGGGAGATTTGGAGGCTGGGTTGACCTCGGTGGGCCCGCCACTGCCACTGCAGGCTGCAGGCTGTTAGTAGCACAGTGTGGAGAATATACGGCCGCTCGGCAGGCAGTTCATCCGTGTTTGCGCTCGTCTTAGGTTTGTGTTGCGTGTGACGTGTGTGACGTTTGTGACGTGCGTGACGTTTGTGACGTGCGTGACGTGCGTGACGTGCGTGACGGGTGTGACGAGTGCAACGTGCTCGTGGCGCACTTGCACTACCGCACCTCGCATCCTGCTCATAAGACAATTGCCGAAGTCTAGTACTCGTTGGCCAAGTTTGGCACCGCGAGACCCCGAGTCTAAGCCCTATCGGCCGCGCATGGCCGAAATTCTTGATAACTTTGATTTTAAAACGCGGTTAGTGCCGGCACTGACACACTTCATCTTTACAAAGTGTCGATAATTTTTTTTAATTTTGGCTCTGTCACGACTGAATAAGACCCACGCAGTTAGTGAACCTGCCGCAGCCGAAGCTTGCGGACTTGGGCCGGGCGCCGACGGACGGCGCGGACGAACAGAGGGCATAGGAGAACGGGGTGAGGAGGGGGGAGGGGGGAGCGTCGGGAGACTGGAGAATTTGCCGCCAGTCATACGCGTCAGTATGGGCAACCGTCCGTCTCCTGCTGCGCAGTCACCACTCACCGATATCTAAACAACTGCTTTTCGGACTGGTCAGGTCAACCCTATCTGATGGGGGCAATTCCAGGAGAAATTGTCAAAAATGTCCGTCCGTCACGCGATTTGTGAGCGACTGAGAGATGCTACGGCTTCGTACCAAACATGACTGGGACGCTTCTTGAGATGGCGAGTCAGTTGCGAAACAACGTAGCCTCTCTGTCTCCCGCAAATTGCGTGACGTACGGACACCCCTTCCCGGCATTGCCCATTGGGTAGCCACTCCAATAGTTGAAAGTTGATAAGGGGAGTCGCGCGACTCGGCGGCCGCGTGGGTCTCGCGGGTATTGTCTGGTGTTGTTCTGCGGATCGTTTGGCGGGGATCTGGATCCGCACGCAGATAAACGCGAGTGCAGCGAGGGAGTCCCAACAGAACACAAAAAAGTCACTTTACGGTCATTTTTTGTAGTGTTCTTCTCAACTAGTCAAATTGTAGATAGAAAGAGACTAATTTTGACAGTCAGCAATTAAAAATGACTCAAAATCAGCCCATCGTGAGGTTTTCGCGATTATCGGGGATGCAAACCACAAAAAAGTCACTTAATAGTTTTTAGTAATGTTGTGTTTTTTTTTTTT